GGAGGTTTCTTCCTGTTAAAAGGGAGTTTTTCCTTCCCACTGTCGCCAAAGTGTTTGCTCATAGGGGGTCATATGATTGTTGGGTTTTTCTCTGTATGTATTATATTATATCTATCCACTGTACAATATAAAGCGCCTTGAGGCGACTGTTGTTGTGATTTGGCGCTGTATAAATAAAATTGAATTGAATGCTCTAGAAATTTCTAAGAACCTAAATATGAAAATATGGTGCTGAAATGTCACCTTTAGGCTTTCATCAAAAGTGTCTCACTGGCACTGGAAAAAAAAAATTGAAAAACGTCATTAAGAAGCAGCACAACTAATGTGTCTATGCGAGCTACTTTCCATGCCAGTTATGGTACGCGTTCCCAGGGTTGCCGACACAAGGATATTCATTTGGTATTAAGAGGTGTTACCACACTCTGCAATTTTATCACAACTAATCCACAATTTGTCCCCATAAAGTACCTCTGACAAGGAAAATGTCTGATCAGTTTCCAAAGTACTTTGGACATGTTAGCATAAACAAAGACAAAAAAGCAGCTTAGTTCACCAGTAACTCTGTTACAAATGACACAAGAATTGTTTCTTTACATAAGACTCTTGTTTGCTTAGTAATATATTTAATCTATGATTAATAATGATTTCTAAAGTAAACTTTACCATACAGGAAACAGATGATGTATTGTGTTTTGCCTTGTTTACCAAAAGTAGCAGTAGTTAACCTGACATTAAGTGATATGTTTTTGGGTAAATTAATTTGAAAAGGTTTCACTGGTGATTTGAGGGTGCTTTCAAGAAACCAAACGTTTTTACATTTCTCTTATAAGGAAAGAGAGAACTTCCATTCATCCATTCTGAATGGATGAGAAATGGATGTGTGGTGCTGTGAAAGTCAAAAGTTAAAGAAATAATGGATTGCTGGAAAGTTTATGGTTATCAGATTATTTTCACCCGACATCAGTAACCTGACAGAGGTTAAAACATGTTTCTAAGGAGCACATGAGATTTCAGCATGGTAGTTTAAAAAGGTGTTAGGAAAAATGTACATATTGAAAAAAATTAAAGCTAAAATTCTTAAGAATACAAGTGTCAAAGTAACAACATGCAATTAAACGCATACAATATTGCCGTTGCATAATAAGATCACAAATTTCAACAAAGTTCAACTGAATGAGATGTGTAAAAATAACAGTCAGTTTCCTATATTAAATTATAACTCAAAGCTTGTTAACACAGTTAAAAGATCAGTTTCTTATAGCTAAAAATGAAATTGCCCCGCAGGAGAAGGAAGTCATTTTTTCCTTGTAAAAATAGTATAGACAGTGATTTTTTTCTCTAACGGCTTTGATCTGACGTCCGTAAATAATGGCGTTTAAAGAAGGTGGTACCACGTGGAACAAGATGGATGCCAGCTTCCTATGGTCTGAAAGGTTCTCAAACCGATGCAGAATGATGATGATGTTTCCTGACAGAAGCAGAATGATGTACTCAGCCAGGTGTGCACAGGTTTGCAGGGCTTTACTGTTCAGAGCCTGGTTTTTCCTACTCAAACACACCATGGAGATCCTCAGGTAGGTGATCGTCACACTGCACAGTGAGCAGGCCATTTTGGCCATGGCGGAGCCGAGGCCATAGAACATTTTCACATGAGAGCTTGAACAGGGAGGCGTTGTCGCAGAACGGGTTGCTGATGGTGCGTCTACAGCGAGACAAGCGAATGCTGAGGCCAAATAGCAAAATCAATCAGAGAGAAAGCAAAAAAGTCATGACTGCCCAAATCAACAAATGGGTACAATGTTAGAAATAATTAATGTACTGGTTGAATCAACAGCACCAAATGACCTGAAAGATCACAGAAGACAAATGAAATGCAGAGTAGCAGAATTATTTCCATGGTTAAGGGGAAAAATATGACATAACATTTAACCAAATCAAAAACACTTTTGACGAGGTTGCTACAATCAAAGCTACAATCAAGATGTGCCGTCATAAATGGAAATAAAGGGAGTTTACAACAAGCTGCAAACCAATTTTTACACTAAAGAAGAGGAAGGCCAGACAACATCTGAATGAGTCTGCACACGTCTTAAAAGATTCTTTGAACAGATGAAAGATGGAACTGGGTCAACTTTTTAGCAGCACTGATGCACGGACTGCTTCTAACCTGCTATGCTAGTGTGAACAATGTGGACAGAATAAGTTAGAGAAACCAACTAGGAACCCGCAGAGTGCCAGCTGAGATGCCAGCACCTCTCAGACAAAGCCATTTGTTGAAGCGGCTGTATGACAGTTTCTACAGGTGGAAGAAGAGCAGTAATCAACATCTGCACACGTATTGCCTGTAACAAGTAAACAGATTTTTTTGTGTAAGTCAATACATGTTACAAATATTGTATAATTAATGTCCTCATTTGTTGTAGTACAAGCAAGATAAAAATAATATATGAATAAAGTTCAGTTCCGCCACTGAGTTAA